GCCGCGCCCGCCGCGCCCGCGCCCGCCGCCGCGCGCACGTCGCGGCCCGTGCGCGTGGCCGACTTCATCGACCACTACCGCCTCATGTCCGCCGACTCCGACTTCAGGTACCCGGCTGTTACATTGCATGGCGACCGACCACGTTACTCTCTATGAACTGCATTCTCACAACATCGAAACGTCGCCACGTGCTCCTTAAAGCTTGTCCACAAAAGGCGAATTTGCCGCGATTGTCTTGCGCGTTTGACGCGCGACCGTTGCGTCCACAAGGTATGTGCCAACGCGCGACCATTTGGGGAGGAACTCATTCAGTACGAAACATGGAGTTAAACGCTCGCTCTAAAGTTCGCGCGTTAACTGGACAGAACAAGGCGTCTCTAGTATCTCAACTCGCGCGCAATACCTGCGAATCTAGCTCGAGTCGAGAGTCTGGCGTAGTGCACGCGATTTACGCGCGTATTTTGAATTCGCGCGATGCTTGTGGACGCGCGCGATTCGCGCGAATCGTTTCGCGGCGAATTCGCCCTTTGTGGACAAGGTCTTACTTACATTTCAATATTATTATTACACCTACATCATATCTAATCAATTTTGAAGGTCATGGCATACAGTAACGGTACAGTTGCGGCATAGCTTTCTGATCTGGGAAAACCAACGGCAAGCTGTAACTACTGTAAGCACGCGGTCCTCGCGCGGACAACCATTTTGTATTGAAGTTATGAAATATATCATAATACTTACGGTTTAATGTTCAAATTGTATTGACAAGTTAATAGTTGGGTTCGATTGGTACCGTTACTGTGCGCCATGACGTTTGGTGTCGAATGTTCAGTGGGGTTGCGATACAGCGAGCCAGCAGAATGATGCACGCGTGGTGAATGTGACAGGTTCAGCGAGGAGTTCGAGGAGCTGAAGCACGTAGGGCGCGAGCAGCCCTGCTCGGCCGCCGACCTGCCCGTCAACCGGCCCAAGAACCGCTTCACCAACATCCTGCCCTACGACCACTCGCGCTACAAGCTGCAGCCCGTGGACGACGAGGAGGGCTCCGACTACATCAACGCCAACTACGTGCCCGGCCACAACTCGCCGCGCGAGTTCATCGTCACGCAGGGCCCGCTGCACTGCACGCGCGACGACTTCTGGCGCATGTGCTGGGAGTCCGGCTCCCGCGCCATCGTCATGCTGACGCGCTGCGTGGAGAAGGGCCGCGAGAAGTGCGACCGCTACTGGCCCTACGACACGCGGCCCGTGTACTACGGGGACATCGCCGTGACGGCGCTCAACGAGTCGCGCTACCCCGACTGGACCGTGACGGAGCTCATGCTATGCCGCGGCGCCGAGCAGCGCGTGCTGAAGCACTTCCACTTCACGACGTGGCCCGACTTCGGCGTGCCCGACCCGCCCACGACGCTGGCGCGCTTCGTGCGCGCCTTCCGCGAGCGCTGCCCGGCCGACGCGCGCCCCGTCGTCGTGCACTGCAGCGCCGGCGTGGGCCGCTCCGGCACCTTCATCACGCTCGACACGGCGCTGCAGCAGCTCGCGGCGCACGCCGACTGCCTCGACGTCTTCGGCATGGTGCACGCCATGCGCCGCGAGCGCGTCTGGATGGTGCAGACGGAGCAGCAGTACATCTGCATCCACCAGTGCCTCGTGGCCGTGCTGGAGGGCCAGGACCTGGCCGCGCCGCCGCCGCACCACCACCACAACGCCGCCTTCGAAGGTACGATCCCGCCTCCCTCGAGCGACGACTGAAAATAAATATTCCCCTTCTCCTTTCGACTGTCACGGCGAAAAGTATTTATTTGTCTCGAACGACACTGAGTATAAACAATTCACCCTTATTTCATTCGTCATTCAGTCAGAAAATTTATTTATTTATTTATTTATTTATTTATTTATAATTCATGGAGGACTTACAGCATATAAAAATGGATAAAAATAACAATAGGCGTAGGTAACAGTGAGCCAATAACAAGTCCTCACGTTTAACATTTGAAATAAATTAATTAATATGGTGTGAGTACTATACAATATTAAAAATACATACATTCTGCGTAAATGAAAAAAATAAATATTGAAACAGACCGTACAGACAATATGATTATGAACAGATCAAGAGAAACGATAAAAAAAAAAAACTAAAGATCTAGTGCTGCTTAAAAAATTTAAGGCTTAAGCACCTCTTTGCCGAGTTCACACTAGTTGTAAACGGATCGAAGTCATATTCCTTACAAACATTGTTAAAGTGTCTGCTTGCACGCATAATGTAACTGTTCTGCCTGTAGTTAGATGAGGAACGGGATACGTGTAAAGGTGGATTAAATCTAAATATTTTATTAGGTACATTAAATTTGATTTTTGATAATAGTTCTGGACTATCCACATTGCCGTTAAGAACCTTAAACAAGAATAGACAATCTGCAATATTGCGTCTATCTACCAATGGTAATAGATGGAATTTTCTACAGAGTTCAAGATAACGGGCAGACTGGTATGGTATATTTTGGTGGAAACAGAGATATTTTATAAAACGTTTTTGAATGTTTTCCACGCGGTCAATATATTTTTGATATCTTGGATTCCATACCTGAGACGCATACTCCAGCTGGCTCCTGACATAAGTGCAATATAATATTTTAAGGGTCTTTGCATCAGTGAAATTTTTTGAAAGACGCATTATAAATCCTAGCAGTTTAGAGGCTTTTTTGACGATTGCATCAATATGTGTATCGAAAACCAATTTGCTGTCTTGATGGACGCCTAAGTCACGGATAGTAGTGCATCTTGGTAAGGGCTGACCCGCTAAAGTGTAATTAGTGACATGGACAGTACGCTTTCTAGTGTAAGTGACTACGGAACACTTAGATGGACGCCTCGCCCGCGCCGCGCCCCGAACTGCGCTCTGTTGCGGTCGAATGCGCGCCCGCTCAATCTGAAACTTATGTACTTAAATTATGTTTTATCTCGATGAAATCGCTTGTATACAAGTAGTATTAAGTTTTTTACAAAAATATTTTTATATAAATGTACATGAATAAATGGACCAATCGTTAATTATTGTAATAGATTAAGATAAATTAATATTTTGTTATTTTTTTACTGTGGTAATATAAGGAAACAAAGCGACGCCGGTCGCGTGTCTCGCTATATATTAGTATCGTCGTGACGTCGAGCTCGCATGTTTACATGACAACTGTATACGTACGTAGCTCACTGTACGTACGTATCACTTACCTTTGAATCTCGAAATTGTACTTAAACGTTTGACGTACGTAACGTATCTACTATAAATTGCTCAATTCGATGTGTCGTATACAATCCGTGAAGTCGTCAGTCACTCGGAGTAAACAGTAGCTAGTTGTTTACGACGAGCAACGGTCACGAAGTGATATTTGAACATGTTTGCTATTTATATAGTTGGATGTAAGTTACTAAACACTGTCCGTGCCGCGCCGCGCACTGTCCACCCGCGCCCTGCATGCCGAGCCATCTTATTTCTATGAGTTACTATTAGTTTCAGGTAACTTTACGCAGCATTGTCTCATTGTCTCGCGAGACGTATGGGCAGAGCCATACGTCTCATACTCAAAGATTTCTTCTTTCTCATTCTCACGTATCCCCAAACTAGGCAAGCACATGCGTCAAAACGAATTAGGGGCGCCTAGGAGGTGCTTGCCTTGGATTATATAATGTCTAGATGCAGCGTCACCATACAATAACAATAAAAATGGCGTTGTAAGATTGTTTGCATGTGTGCATATGTGCAGCTCGTGGTTTACATGGCACAATACCACCTATAAAACAAATAGTAATCGAATTTATTTTTAAAATATTTTGTTATTGGACACTGCATTGATATTTTTTCATGTAAGTTAGTCTTTTCCAAATGAAAACAATCATTAAATATTAAGGCATTATTAACATTATTTCTATAAAACCAAAAGTGCCTGTCGAAAATCGAAACGAACCTAATTATTTTAATCGGTTGGAATAAATAATACATTAAAGCAAATGTAAGTGTATTCAATAAGTAATAAAATTATTGTTTTATTTTTGATTCACAGGCAAGTGACATTTTTTTTAAATTTTCCCTTTATGAGACTTATGAGAGGGGAATATTGAAAAATGATTTGGCAATAATAATAAAATATGGCGGCAATTAGTTTGGGCTAAAACATAAATTAAATAATATAATGTTTAAGTTACTCAAAGATTATTAAGCGATCTGTCCAGTCCTTTTTAACCGCGCTTTATAATTTCGACGCAATTTAATGGAGCATGTTGCCATGTATGCAGTGTATTTTTTGTTTACGTATTTATGGTGCAGCTTTCATGTCACGTAGTGACGCCTGGATTCCCCGGTTGGTACCACTTTTTGAGAAAGAGCATTGCAGTGAACAGTTCACTGCAAATTTTTGAAACAGATTTCGCACAATTTTTTGAAACAGATTTGACACTCCACCCAGACATTATGTAATCAAAATAGTTTACCTAGACCGCTCTGTAAGATTATTTCTTCTCTGCGTCCATACGCACTAATTAACCCATGTCAATTTGCATCAAGAAATTATAATTCTTAAGCAAGTTGAAATAAGGTTATAAGTTATAACTTATACAGCGGCCGGCAGTGAGCGCCGGCCTTAAATGTGGATTTGATGGACACACCATAATGCTCGGATTTTTTTTTTGCCTACTTAAGTTGCTAGTTTTTAATCTAAATAATTGTGTGCCATCTTCAAACAAAATATTTGTTGCGGGCGTCGGTCCCCTATTATGACATTGCGTATGTGTTATTCAGATTCTAGACCATAATCGTTTTCAACCTGCGTAAATACGATCATGTTTCTGCACATCGGTTGCAACTAAAGTGGCTGCCCATACGCCAGCGCAGGGAGCAAAGGGCGCTAACCACTCTATTCTCCTTTCTTTCTTCACCTTCTTCACCCAGTTATCTATCCCCTTACTTTCAATACTTATGCGCAAACCACAGTAAAAATCTTCGTTCTTCTCACAACCGTCTTCTCCAATGTCCCACTCATCGCACTGACTTCTTACATTCATCCTTTTTCGTACAGGCAATTTTTCTGTGGAATGCGCTCCCCCTGGATGTCAGGATGGTCTCAACTCGACTAACTTTTAAGCAGAAAGTACGTGAGCTTTTCCTAAAGAGGTTGGCTGAATCATCGCGCTAACTATCCACTGTGTACTAGTAAGCAAGTATATATTTATATATTATGTATATATGTATGTATGTAGGCATATTGTACTCATGTGTAGGTATACATTATAATTAAATTTATTTATGTATGTATATCTCCGAAATATATTAGTTTATCTTTCATTGTTAAATAAAATCACTGCTTGCCTCTTGCACCTACCATTTACTCTTCTCTGCATCACCCAAAGGTCAGATTGGTAGAAAATGCCTGCGGCATTAAGTCCACCTTTTTGTGCATTTTGTGCATGAAGCATTTTAAATAAATAAAATAAATAATCTACCCTGTCCCACATTTCATCGCGATCGTTTCCGTCGTTTTGACGTGATTGCGTAACGAAAACACCCAACTCAAAAACATGCGCAGTTATAATATAAGTAAAACGTAAGGTGACTATCTAATTGTAGATTTATTATCTTTAAAACATATTAAACGACTTTAAAATCTTAAGAAAATACAACTTATAAAATTTGTAAATAAAATGTTTTTCAGTTAGTTCATTTATAATTATATAAGATTTACACATTATGCTATGTCCGCAATAATTATTTTTGTATTTAATGAATGGCACATAATTACCTACTTGACGTAGGAGTCTAAACAACTGGCATCCTACGTAATATTAATTTAGTCTTTAATAAAGGAAAAGCAGTCAAAGTATAATTGTATAGTGGCTAGCAACATGGCATGCACTCCGATCACCTTCATACGTACTTTAAAATATCTACCTCATACACGCAAATACATCACATTCTCTTTCATAACTTTAGTCCCACATCTGTAACACTTCCACAGTTATATTATACAAGTTACGTATCTGTGATCAACTGATCACCAACGACAGTTAAATATACAGATTCGACTTATAGAAAAGTGAAATATTACATCGCATACTAGCGCGCGGCGCGGTCTCGAATAGCTCGTCCAAGGGATACATTCCCGTAGCGACCTTTCACTCTATAGGTATTATGTTGTATAATTTAAGTCTCAGTGCATTCTAAATGCGTCAAACCTGTATGTTACATTATCTAAATACTAATATGATATTGATGCAATACATAGTAATAGTAATAATTTAGAATTAAATAGTTTATTTTGTAACTCCTATTTTTATTTCAACACTTGTACACCGTATAAAAAATCTGAGTATATTTGAGTCACACATTCTTCATTGTCCGCACCTCACCCTGTAAAAAATAATCAAATATGAGTAAGTATTAATAGTATTTCCTAAGTACATATTTATTAAGGTGAATGCTTCCTGGTATCCCGCGAATTTTGAATTAAACTGTCAAACACCAAGCGGTCACCGGTGACCGCAACCTATTGTTCTATAATTGTGTCTACAAAACCGGTACTCGACGAGTTAAATTAAATGCTTGCGCTTGCTTACGTGTGCACACACGTGTGTACGTGTTTACGTGTGTGCGTGTATAAACACATGGTCATTTCATTTAACAAGTGACAGGGTGATTTTTATCTAAGTAGTATTATTGCGTAATCAAATACATGTCATTTCCGCAAATATATGCTTTAACATAACATAATATCACGCCTT